GAAACATTGAAATCCCCCCCTAAAACTACCACCCTATTGGTGACGCAGACGTTTTGGATTGGCAAAAAAAGTTCCTTGCGCCCCCGCGGCTCAGCCGGAGCATACACATTTACAAAACGAAAATAAACTCCTCTCCAATCTGCGTCCACCACCAGGACCCGCCCTTGCACCACTGAAAAACTGCCTGAAATACGAAAGTCCCTATCCCCAAATAATATTCCAACCCCTGACGAATGCACCCCCCCCCCCCCCCACCTTGACTCGCCCTTGTGCCATCCCCCAGAAAACACCCCCACGTCCCCCCCGTCCCTCAAATGAACTTCTTGTAAAAAACAAACCTGAAAAGAAACATGTGACAAGTACTGAAAAACACCTCCACGTTTTCCCTGATCCCTCATCCCCCGCACATTCACAGTTAAAACAGAGAACAAACTCATGACTTAACGTCTTACAGTCCCTCCCACGGTCCCCTCAGCCTCCACCCCGAGAGAGCTATGTGGACCATACGACCCCAACTCCTGCAGGTAGGCCACACTGCTAGGCGATCCGGCCTCCAGGAAAGAGTGTGTTGGGCTTAAAGGTGGCGCCAGCCCCAACTCCACAGGCCGAGACTCCACCCCAGAGCCATCCACCAGAGTCACCCTGCTGTAGCCCTACACAGGACCAGCCTTTACAGCGACCGGTCCACTGGACTCCCCTTCTCCCAAATCTCCGGCGAGGACGTCATAGCGGCCCGACAGCGACAAAGAAGCCCCATTGCGTGTTGTCTAGCCCGCATCCCCTTCCTCTTCTTTTTTTTCCTGCGGAATAGCTCCTCCTGCCCTGGCCGACCAGCCTCTGGCGACAGTTCTGGCTGATCCCCTCCTGAGGACGTCCTTCTCCTCCTCGCCCCTCCAGTAACAGCCCCGGCTGACTCCCCACTGTCCGAACTCCTCTCCCAGTCCGCCCAGGACCCTTCCATGGGCAGAGAGTCCCCCAGGCTCACCAGCACTCCCGCACCCAGGTAGCCCGGTAACTCTTCCACCGTTCCCTCGGCCCCATTAGCCAGAATGGCCTCCGCATCTGGATCAGCTTCAGTGGCCGTAGCTGCCTTCCCTGCTGGGAGGTCACCCTCCACCCCCTGGACCTCCTGCGGTTCCTCCACCAAAGGTCCCAGGCTTGGGCCCAGACTCTTCCCTGCCACAGCCGCATACCTGCGGCCACTAGAAGGGCAGACCCTAAAAAGGTGGCCTGTTTTTCCACACCCATTGCAGGTTTTTGGCTGACTGCACGAGGCTGCTCCATGTCCCTCGCCTCCACAGTTCCGGCAACGGATCAGCGTGCAGCCAGCCGCCAAATGTCCAAAAGAGCGACACTGCCTACAAAAACCCGGTTGACCAGAGTAAAACAAAAAACCCCTTTCCCCTCCAAGTGAAAAATAGGCAGGAGGGTGTCGAAGGCCATCCCCACTCTCAGGATCCTCTCCGAGGAGGACTCGGAACTGTCACCGACCTGACCAAATACCATAATTGTCCCTCAGGTATTTCACCGGCTTGTCCACCTTCCCATACCTTCCCAGAAAAACAGCCACTGCCGCGTCACTCACATACGGGTTGTACATGTGCACCGTGATGACCCGCACATTCCTCTGTCCCAAAGGCTCCACCTTGAAAAGGGAAAAGGGCACAGACTCTGCCTTGGCCTTGCAAGTCATTAGCAAACGGTCGTACATAACCTGGCTGTGAAGCGTAACATCGTAGCCGTTGTCCGAAGGATTCCACTGCAGGCAGAAGACTTGTCCTGGGTCCACCTTGAGCCCGTCGATCAGTACAGTCTTCACAAACCAATCTCGTCCTCCAACAGCCGTCTCCTTCCAAACGAACCTCATACAATTGCGCAGGCCAGCCTCCCCGGCTGCCTGATGGACACCTCCACTGGACATCGCTAGAAAAACAAGAACAGATGTTAGCCAAAAGGCCGAGAAGCGATAACTCTCCAGGGCTTCGCGTTGCCTCTCACTTCCTGATACAATCTGAACCTTTTTAAGGTGGCCACTTCACACCTCCGCCCCTTCCCGCATTAAACACTCTTGAGCAACGACGCACTTTGCGCTCCGACAGGCTGTAGTCGGCGCCCTTCGAGGCACAATTGCGCACCCCAAGCTGACGCCTCAAGGCAGTCACAGGAGTAGAGTTGAGGGTCTTCCAGGAGAGCCCCTCTCAGCCCAGGTCACCCTACAAATCCTATAAGGAAGCATGGTCTGTTTGTACGGTTGTTGTTTGGTTTTATGTTTGTTTATTTAACCTGAAACAGATCTGTTGCTATAATCTAATAGGCTGAGATCTCTGAATTTAGAAAAAAGATGAACGTGATGATGGAGGTAAATCGGTAATGATCAACCCTGAATCTGACTATTAACTGTAGAAAAATTACCATCGGAATTTAGAATATTGAACTAAAGTAAAAGAGCTGCCACAAATAAAGAGCTGCCACAAATAAAGAGGAATAAAGAGGGGATTGTTTTTTTTTCAGGTGACATGTTGTTAATGGACCTCTTTTGAGTTTCTCTGAACTGTTCTTTTTTTATTTGGCCCTGTTGTGTAAACTCCTTGTGTGCACACCCCTCTTTCCTGTTAAAAGGATGAGGGACAAAGGTCAACTAGACAAGTGGAGTTTTGTCTAAATCAACCAGCCGAGGACACGGCAACTTCAACTATAACGCTGAGCCAAACCAACGCCCTATCAGATAAACAGTTTTTGTTTTATTCATATATCAATCTCTTTTTGTCCTGTATTTACGTTCAATCAAATGAACAATTGAAGATGATTTTGAATTTTAGGCTCGCTTTCGGACATTCATGCACATTTTGTACAAATTGCTCAGAAAGTATCTCAGGCCTGAAAGTCCTGGCCCTTTCCATCTGAGTCTGTTCTTTTGTGAATGACCTTCTCTTTTTTGCATGCCATCCAGAAAGCAATGTGGAAGACACAGAGGGATTGTTGCTCAAACACGTTATGTGTGCCAGCTTGTCCAAACTTTGTTAATTTCAGGCCCGATTTTTTGGGGGGTCTTGTGAAAGTTCCTTGCAGCAACACTGTCTTGCGGTTCTGAACATTCATAAACAAGTCAGACACATTACACTTTGGAAGAGAGTGATTTGCTTGTGACCTTGAATCTGTTCTTATCATTCTCCTGGAGCAGAAACCTTCATTCCTTTCTGCTCAGATAAACATTTCTGTGGGTTTTGACCTGC